CAACCCACTTCTTACCCCATTTCTTTCCTTCTAACATTTCAACATCTCCTTGTTTGATGATATCTTTTAATGTTAATACGACTGTTTTATCATCTTGGTGTCCTTCTACTAACTTACTAACTGGAATTTCTTTAAATCCATCTTCACTTTGTATTTTAGCTTCCAACTCTTTTTGGTGATTAATTTCTTGCATTCCATCTTGAATCTTTTTCTCAAAAGATGACCTAAACTCCCCAAAAATTTCATCATATCGCTGAATCATTACAATGGCAGTTCGAGTTAATTTTTCAATGTTCATACCAAAGTCATCACCTTCTTCATAAATGTTAGGACAAATAACTTTAGCTAAATTATCTGCTGTCATTTTATTAACACCACTATTTTTATCAATCATTTGAAGTAACCTAAATAATCGTTCCATTAATAACAAATAGCTTTTACCTACTGGCTCTAAAATATCTTGAATAGCTTTAATATTATCTACATCTACTGTTTGAAGACTAATAGGTAATTTGTTTGGCATTAAATTTAAATATTTCTTTAATACATTACCTAATAAATGACAAGACATATTACTTACATCAATATTCACATCTAAATCTATTTTAGTCATTGTTTCTTCTAAATCTTTTACACTAACACTAATTCTAAAAATACCTTCAGTGTCTGGTGCTTCTTTTTCTAATTTATCGAAAATTTTATGAATTACATTTGGTATTAATGTAGTTTCTTCTTCTCTTGCAATGACTGAACTCTTAATTTCTGTTCCAAAAATCTTTTTTCTATCCATCTCATATTTGATACTATTAAGATATTTTGCACATTTTTCTGCTGTTTGAGTATCCTTAAATCCAATGTCACATGTTTCATTTTTGATTTCCAAAACAACAGTCTTCTTATTTTTTACTCTAAATGAAACCATTTGACTAACGTTAATAACAGACCCAAATATATATTCATTACGCTCTGGTTTTGTAAAGATAAAAATGTCATTAAACAAAAACATTGTTCCTTGAGTTTTGTTATATGTACATTGTTGACGGTCTAAATACTTTCTTTTAGGATTAAAAGAAATACCTTTCAATCCATTGATCTTACTTAATTGAGTCTCAACATCGTTCTCTTTTTCTGCTTGTTCAGATAAAAGACTTAATGATGTAAAGATAAAACATAATTCTTCTAATTTCTCTGTTTTATCTGTTTCTTCAGAAAAATCATCTTTGAGGCTATTAAATAATGGAACTAATTGAGTTAAGTGAATGAATGGTAAGTGAAGAAGTTCTTCTAACCTTGGTTGGCTTAAATTCGAATTATCAATAGATTCAATAGCATCTTTAAATGCATCGATTTGAAGACATTTATTATACTTCTTCATAGAGTCTTTAAAATGAGCACATCTTCTTTTATAAACATCATACAATTGACTTGCACGTTTAGCGAATGCATCAATAAAGGAGTCTATATTTGAATTCTTAAGTTCTGTAAAAATTGAATGATGTAATGAATGAATAGACTCAATCTCAGTAAAAATAAGATTAACATCAGCCATACTCATTCCTGTTGTTGCTAATGTTGGATTACACAACAACGATTTAGCATATTTAACGACACAATATTCCATCTTTTCAACTAAATGATTCTCAGCTTCAAAAATGTTAATAAATAATGGATCATCATCCATCCATTGTGGATATTCAACATCTGTATTTTTGACTGCTTCTCCAATATTTAAAGTCTTCCATAAATTTAATTTTTCTCCTTTATCCTTAAACATTCTTTTAGTACTAGTTAACCCCTTTGATACTTTATCACTTAAATCAACAGAAGTATGGAGCATAATGGTCAAAAACTCATTATATAAATCAACGTAAAAATCAGTAACTTTTTCTCCTTCACTCTTAATAGAATTAAAAGTTTCTTCTTTTTGTTGTTGCAATTGTCCTACTTTATTAATATCTGGTCGTTTTTCTTTATTCATCTTTTGAAGTTTCATATCTACAGTCGCATAACTTGAAATTAATTTATCAAAATCATTTCTTGCTCGAGTAAAATTATTACACGAATCAATATACTTTTTTATCGTTTCATAAAATCCTTCTGTACTTCTAATTTGTTCATTAAATTGGTCAAAGCATTTGAGATATAATTCACCCATAAACTCGCTACATTCTTCAACATCACTCCTAGACCCAACATCACGAATAGTAATATCTCTTAAATTCTCTTTCATGTCTAAAACAAGTTTTCTTTGGTTACTTAAAGAATCAATGAGGACCTTAAATTGTTGTTGACTTTCCATTATCTTTAGGCACTTATCTCGTGCTACCTTAATTTCATTTTGAAGAGCATCAATTTCCTTGGCAATATTTTGAATTATATTTTCTTCACTTTCAGTTTGGTCATTTTCAGACGTAATATTCTTTTTATCGACAGCCAAAGTTCTTCTTCTAGTCCTAGGAGTTTTCTCTCCATTTTTTTTCCTTAGCTCTAGCAAAATACCTTCACTTAATTGTTTAACTGAATTATTATGTTGCGTTTGCTTTTGCTTCCTAATATTTGTTATAAGTGACTGGTCTACACCAGGAGATTGATTATGACTACTCATTTCTTATTATTTATTATTGATTTAAAGTTTGAACTCAAATTCCAGATATATAAAATTCATCTTTCTGATTTATTAATTTTTATTTTTTCTTGTTTTTTTTTAATTTGTTTTATATAACTATAAATTATAAAAAAGAAAAATAATAAAGGTATTAAAAGAGAATTAGAAAAAATATTAGAAGGAACTCAACTAAGATTTTTAACCCTAAAATAACAGACCATGCCTTTGTCTAACGGAAGAAACAGAAGAACCAGAAAATTATTTAAGAGACCA